TCTAAGTGATGCCATAATTAAATTGACGTTATAAGAATTGTCGCAATGATGAAAATTATGAGATCATTATGAATCCTACGGGAAGCATGGGTATGCATATTATTACGGGATGCCTTAATTATATTTGCAGTACTGAATAGTATTATGTCGACAAGAATTATCGATTTACCGTTGTATGAGTTTATTTACGTTATCTGCTCATCATGTGCTACATTGGTGTTAGTACTCGCCCAAGCCAAAGCCAGGCTTCACGTGTATGTTCACATCACACCGCACACTCACTTTGGATCCATTGTAGGTGCCAATCCTGTCCTAGATTGCTATACGCAATTAGGACTCATATATGATACGCATAATGTCAGTCTTCACGTCATTGTAGTACTATAGCGTAAATCATTATTACACTCAATCCTGTTCATGTCAGAATATCTCTGCATGAACTCGTGTGTCAACATATGTCGATGAGAACTCGATATGATATGTTTGCTTATGCAAGATTATGTGATTACGAACATCATGTGTTTATTTATGAAAGTTTGTGACGTATTGCATTCTTAAGATATTGTTGGCTATGGTAAGTACTTTCATACTATACGTAGTATGTTATATTTGGAAACTATACTTGTTATATGGCGAGGGGTTATACGTTTTCAAAATGGTGTTTACAAAGCTTTATTTTAAGGCCCACTCACCCTTGTTTTTTTTTTGCCCCTCCAAGTTTTAGTGGTTGAGCATTCGTGTCGACGAGTATTCTTGGCAAATGTTGGAATAGAAGATTACCGTATTGTCATTCTACTTTTACTGTACCTTACTTATACTCTGACATCACGTGTGAAAGGGGTTCATTCCCTCTCACATGCGCACTCTTCCATTTAGGCACTTTTAGGTTTAAATTTATTCGCACTTTCCACATCACTACACTTTATGGCTTTGTGACCTTCCTGGTGTGGCCAGCACATCTCGATTTGGAGTCCAGGTGGACATTTCGGGTCGGGATATGTCATGTTGTTTCCCAATCGTAGTCAAGATGACGAAAGATTTTTCAAAGTGCCCAAAATATGGGGTGGTACATCACATGTCTCTATATAAGTTATGAGATTCTTGTTTTAAAAAATTTAATAACATAAAAAATAAAATTTCCAGCCACTTACATAATAACACATGGTGTACCACTCGTGTTACGGACACAAGGAAAAATTTCTCCAAGATAACACCTGTGACAGCCCGTCCCGCATTATTTGTACAGTAGGTGTGAAATGATGATTTTGCCCTTGGTGGGTATTTGTCCTTTTGGGTTGTTGTTTTGTTGTTTTTGGTGGTTGACTCTACATGACACATACACACTCATACCACACACTCCTGTGACTCTCTCTCTCTTCTCTCTCAGACTTCATTCTATTTTCCTTTGCAAGTGTACGGATGAACTTCAAAACCAACCTTTCACGCACGGATCAACATCTAGAAGGTAAGATTCGAACTCTTTGCAAGCTCTTGAGTTCATCCATACCATTTTTAGAACTTGAAACCCTCGAAAACCCTACAACCCGAGAACCTAATTTTTATGTACTGTTCATGCACTAATCATTTCAAAGGTTTCAGTGGATTTTAAGGTCTTAGGGAGCTTTAGAATACTCTCACGAAACTCGGGGAACAAGTTTGAAGGATTTTGGACATCGGGATAGCAAGTTCTAAGGTTGGCCGGATTTTTGCAAGGTTTCTCTGACGAGATTCCGTGAATTTCAGGGCTTGAAAGTGGTAAGGTTTTGTTCTACTTGTAAGCTTCATTTTGGTACCAATTTCATGGAATTTGGTTGAGAAATGAAGAAGATATGAAGTTGTGAAAATTTTCCAATTTTTGGCTAAAATTCGAGTTGCAGACAGTGGGGCTAACAACGGCGGACGGCGGCGGCCGGCGAGACTCACTAGAGAAGACAAGGAATATTCCGTCAACTTTGACGGAATATACTAACAGCATTACTAACGGCGTCAGGTATATATAACAGTATATTCCATTTTTGGATGGAATATTCCCTAACGCCGTTAGGGTTACCACACGTGTGTCAGGCACGTGCCCGCGTGTGGCCGATGCGTCTGGCCATGCCTTGGTCGGCGTGTGGCGGCGCATGGGTGGTCCGAAAATTATTTTAAAAATATGGGAATGTTCGTGAGGTTGAGTAGATCGCGTTGGTATATCCAAACATCCCATTTGAGCATTGTATGAGAAGTTATTATCTAGTTTTGGTTATGTACTTTAAATTGACGTTTTTATAGTTGTTTCGCATATAGGTAAGACTCATCCTGAGGACGAGCGCAGTCACTCGAGGCAAGCGGGTTACGACCCTTCCACATATCAGTGAGTGGGCTTTTGGTTTTCCATAAATACCTATATACTTATGGTTTTTCCCAAAAACTTATTAGAATGTTATTATGTTCTAAAATGCCATGCTTAGTTTGTGCCTATTTATGCATGAGTAGTTGCATATATGTATGTTTAATGCTGCAGATGCACAAGTAAGTTATAGTTTATGGTTGTGACGTTGTAGTTATGTGATATGCATAGAGAGCTCATAACCTGCACCCCCGATGTTAGTACTCCCACCCAGAGTAGGGCACAGTCCTTCACGTGATGTTCACCTCCCGCACCACACGCTCATCTTGGATCCAAGTTAGGTGCACAGTCTTGTTGTACAGACCACTATAAGTGGTTCCGACTCATAGGTGACCCGCGATTATTCGCCTAGTCTTCACGTGATCGTAGCACTTGAGCGTATTTATTTACACCCAGTCCTGTCGTACAAACCACTTTAGGTGGTTCCGACTCGTGTGCAGGTATAGTTAGTGAGTTGAGGATTTGAGCTCTAGATTCAGCCATATAGGTCACGTTAAGTGACTCCGGCTGACATGTTATTTACATTGATTGACATTACCTAGTTACCTTTATTTTATGTTGAGGCATTCGACATGGCATATTTCTGAACATATTTTCGATATATGTGTATATTCTATTTTCTGGGAAAGTATACAGGTTTTACTGCGAGGGGTTAGAACTTTTGCTAATGAAATGATTTTGAAAAGCTTTGTTTTTACCCACTCACACTTTCTGTTTTGCACCCCTCCAAGTTCTAGTTTGGATTGCTCTTTTGGTGGCTTACGAGGAATCCACGGCATATATGACAGATTATCACCAGTGTAGGACCACCTCTGGGTGTGTTTAGTTAGTGTTCGTTCTTCTGGACTGCACTTAGGCTTTCTGTGCTCTGATTATGTTTATTACACGTAGTCTCACATTAGTGTGTTACCTTAACTAGCTTACTTAGTAGTTTGGTTTTTATTTATTCGTACTTTTATTATTATCTTTTACTTCCACACTGTGCACATAGCTACGTCACCCTCACGTGACGGCCAGCACGCCTTGATTTCGGCCGAGGTGTGTCAACACCAAAGCTCAAGAAATTGGATGTAGAGCTACATTTAATTATTGTAGGTATTTAAGCAAAAATGTGAGGGAATTTTAATTTGGTAATTGAAAACAGCTTTTTATATATAATTACTGAGAACATAATATTCTCAAGGTTTTCATCTAAAGGATCACTTCTGGGTTCATCATTTTCAGCGCAATAAGTGTTGGACCAAAAATGGTCTAAATTTCAAACCTTATGAAACTGAACTAAGAATTAGACATTTTATAAAACTTTACCAATAGGTAGACACTATTTATAAAACTGGACTAATAAGTAAACATTGTTTATGAAACTGTACCAATAAGTAAACACTATTTATGAAACGAAACCAAGAATTAGACATTATTTCTAAAACTAAACCAATAGGTGGAAACTATTTATGAAACTAGACTATACACTATTTATAAAACTGGACCAATAACTACACAATATTTATGAAACATGACCAAGAACTAGGCATTATTTATGAAAGTGGACCAATAACTAGGCATTATTTATGAAACTGTACCAACTGCTATACACTATTTATGAAACTGGACCCAATAACTAGGCACTATTTATGATACATGACCAAGAACTAGACATTATTTATGACACTGGACCAAGAACTACACACTATTTATGAAACATGACCAAGAACTAGACACTATTTATGAAAGTGGACCAATAACTAAGCACTATTTATGAAACCGAACCAAGAAAGAGACATTATTTATGAAACTGTACTAATTACTATACACTATTTATAAAACTGGACCCAATAACTAGACACTGTTTATGAAACATGACCAAGAACTAGGAAGTATTTATAAGACTGGACCAATAAATAGTGTAGTACCGTTCAGTTTCATAAATAATGTTCAATTTCATAAACAGTGTATGTGATGGACACACGTGTCTAGGGCGTCAGGTCTTTTTTTTTTTTTAATTTTTTTATGTTAAAATTGTATCATTTTCATTAAAAGTTAGGTTCTTTTGTCTTTTTTTGTTAAAATTTAAGGGTTTTTCATTAATATTTAATTTTTTTATTAAATAAAGTTATAGTATGGTTTTTTTATTAAAATAAACTTAGCCTAAACCCTTTTCATGAAAGCTCTGTTTTTTTAATTAATAGTAAGCTAATGTACTTACTTTAACTATTCAATATTGTATTTTTTTTAATTAATTTAATACTTAAATTTGTATGCACTTACGTTTTTAGGAAGAAAAAAATTTTGTGTCAGAATTTGAATATTTTTTTGTTAAAATGTTCACAAAAATATTTTATGACAACATAACATTAAATTAATTTGTACACTTAACCAAATTTCACATAAAATTGTAAAATATCTCAAATTTAGAGATTATACTACAATCCTAGTAGTGTAAATAATATCGTTTATCAAAAAAATGTAAATAATTTGATTTGTTAGGGCCTCATCTAGCCTAGTCTAAAAAAGTTTGATCTAAGAGATTGGCCCATCCCACATCTATAATTTTGGCCCAACACAAACAACTGAAATAAAATAAAATAAAATAAAAAAGAAAAGAAAGGAACACTGGAAGGAAGAGCTGGAGTGACGCCGAAGAAATCAATCGACCTATAATTTATTCTTGTGTAGAAAGCATTTGCACGAACGAAACGATCTCTCTCTCTCAGTCGTCAGTGAAAGCAATTGGATTTCGATTCGGTTTATTGGAAGACCCTAATTCTCCGATGTCGGTAAGTTGAAGAAGCAAGCTTGATTCTTTACTCGTACAGAGGCCGATTAGGGTTTTGTGTAAATACCCAATTCCAATTGGGGATTTTTATTTTTGTTTTTGAAAATTTGTCTTTGCAGATCACCGAGTACAATGGGAGTGCACTGGTCGCAATGGTGGGGAAGAACTGCTTCGCCATCGCCAGCGATCGCCGCCTCGGTGTTCAGCTCCAGACCGTCGCCACCGACTTCAAGAGGATTAGCCAAGTCCACGATAGGCTCTTCATCGGCCTCTCCGGCCTTGCCACCGACGCTCAGACTCTGTACCTCTCTCTCTCGCTCTGTCTCTCTGTCTCTCGCTTTTTTGCTTTCTTTTGTGTGATTTTTGGGGATTTTTGGTTTGAACTTTAAGGTATCAGAGGCTCATGTTTCGGCACAAGCTGTACCAGCTTCGGGAAGAGAGGGATATGAAGCCGGAGACTTTTGCCAGCCTTGTTTCCGCTATTCTGTATGAGAAAAGGTTTGGAATTTGCTCATATTTGACCCCTTTTCTTGTACATGCTTGGGAGATTTAATGGGTATTGATTATTTTAGCTTAATGTCATGAGGAACTCTAAGGGTTGACTTCTATTTTGTGATTTAGGTTTGGTCCCTACTTCACTCAGCCTGTAATTGCTGGGTTAAGTGATGAAGACAGACCATTCATATGCACTATGGATTCAATTGGAGCCAAGTAAGTTACTTTTCTTCTCTCATTCGTGTTCTTTTCTGACTTTCTCTCAATTTTTTAGCTGCCCAGGTGCTAAGGACTTTGAAATTGTTTCTTCATCTTCCTATAGGATAAATATTCATGCTTGCTTACTCCTATTATGTTTATGTGTTTACATATGTGTCTTTGTGGTTTTACTTCTTGTAGTGATGTTATTTGTGTTCCATATATGCAGGGAACTGGCTAAAGACTTCGTTGTTGCTGGTACTGCATCGGAGTCCCTTTATGGTGCTTGTGAGGCAATGTTCAAGCCTGATATGGTTAGTTTCTCTATTCAATTTGCACTAGCTTTTCAATGGGCCTGTCAATATTTTTTATTTGATCTGCTTATATATACTTTTTCAGATATGAGATATTCAGTTTTAGGTGCTCTAGATATTCTGTTGAATCATGTCTCCCATATGTAGTGAACATTCAAGCACAAACTGTCTCAGGCCATTGTGATTCATATTTAATTGTAGAGATGTGTTGTTGCCGAGAATGTGGCTATTGAAATCAAGATAAAAACAAGCTGAGAGATCTCCAATTAGTTGCACCTTTCTTTACGTGTGTGTTGCTACTACTGAAAGGAGTAGGGGAAGGGGCAATATAATTAAAGGGAAACTGAGAGATATACTATGTATCAATTGTACTTATTTTTCTCTTTATCATGTCGGCAGCCAACTGCTACATAAACAAAAAGCATACATAGAGATAAACAGTGGGCTCCGTTGCCAACTGAACTTCAATAATCGTTTACAGGATTCTGTGGGGCTGAAAATTTATTGCCGTCTGATTAGTTAGATCATTGTGATAATATTTACTCCTAGTATCATTAAAATGGCCAGCTCCTTTATTATATTTTTTACTAATGAGAACAGCTCTAACAGCAGTGCGTCTACTAATTGTCACTCAGGAACCAGAGGAATTGTTTGAGACTGTCTCTCAAGCATTACTTTCATCAGTAGATCGAGACTGTCTGAGTGGTTGGGGAGGCCACGTCTTTGTCGTGTAAGCCTTTTGTTCTCTTTACTTACTCAGATATTCTTATTACGCATGAAGATGCATGTACATAGAGAGAGAGAGAGAGAGAGAGAGAGAATGGATCTTGAAGCAATAAAAGACTCTATTGTTCCTTTTTTCCTTCATACTTGATAGTTAATAAACTGATATAGGATTCCAAATTCATTTCCTCCATCTTGTTGGCTGCCAAATAAAGCAAGTAGCTATATATACTTGATATCAGCTGAACACGATATCAGGGAAATAATTATGAAATACTGTAACATTGTGCTTTACATAATATGATTCATGGTATGTGTAAATCCAGGAATGTTGTTTGTCCTGAAGGCTAAAGCTACATTCTCACGACGAGTGTCTGCTCTTACCATAACATTTCAATTAGTTATCATATTGGTGATGAAAAGGAGCTTACATTAAACCTAATTCCGTAACTGGGAATCTCAGGCATCAATTTCTTTGGTGGTCTGAATTCTCAATCCATTGTGGTTGATTTTTCCGTCATCTTCTTCGTTAGATACTTATTCTCCCTATGTTATGACTTCACAGTACTAAGATTTGTGAGGGTCATTTAATTCCCTCCATTTATGTGAGAAGTAACACTCCCTGTTTCAACACGTATAATTATTTTTCTGCAGAACACCAACTGAAGTGCAGGAGAAGATCTTGAAGGGAAGAATGGACTGACATTGCAGCATGCCTTTTTGTGAGCCTATGTTTCGTTCAGGCTGCATCTTTTCCTTGGGTGTTTATGTAGCTTTGACGTGAATTAGCAGACATAAGCTTTCTTGGCGATCATAGGCCCCTTGTTATGTTTAGATTTAATGTAATTTGACGATTATATACAGTGGGATCATTTGATTTAAATTAGGTCACTTTGAGAAAATGTTGGGAATTCAAATATGCTTTTAAGGTAATCAGTTGGTATGCTCATTAATGTTTCTAAACAGGTTTTGAGTTTATCCTGATGTATTTGCTGTTTCTAAACTTTATCTTGAATTTATTAACGTTGCGCATTTGGAAACATGTGATGTTACTCTCGTGTTCAGTTGTTTCGTGCTCTTAAAAAGTCTTTCGCCTGTGAATAATGGACATCTAGATGTGGTGTTATGGTGAAAGACATGCTATTAACCAAATTCTTGCGTTTTGACAAAGAGTTGGATAAACCCACTGATGTGCTTAAGGTTACTGGATAAGGTCGGTATTTTTTTTTTTTTTTTTTTGGATATAAACGAGACATTGGGAGAGTGGGGGAGGGAATCGAACTTGGAACTTGGGCGCTGAGGGTGAAAGCTCTTGACAGATTGAGCTACAAGGTTCTTGATAGTCTTGAAGTGATATTTGGGAATAAGCTCGATCTTTTTGTGGATTAAGAATGTGACGAATGGGTTGAATTTTACACGAAAATTATTACTGCTATACAGACCCATATGGGTTGGTTGAATTCTTTTGACCTTTTGTTTTTGTTCAATTCTTTTGACATGTTTACTTACAAGGAATATCGTAACAACTTGATTCCTTGCTTTCTTACTATTACTAACACACGTACTGAATAAAAATAAAATAAAAAATAAAAAAAAGGTATGTGGATCTCATGTTACATTACATTATGTACAACAATGCCTGAACATTTTTTAATTAGATTGATTTCTCTCCTTCCTCCCGTTTCACATAAGTAGACATGAAGAAACCTTGAATCATCCATGAAACTAAGAACACAAGGGTATTCTCACGGAATTTCTTAAGCAAAAACAAAAGATGACACCGAAAAAGCAGTTTTCGGTCCGATCGCTTATTCTTCTACTATGGGAGTCGTGTTAGTCTTTAGAAACAGAAAATCTCTTTATGATTAAAAACGTTCAACTAATCATCTGCTCTCTGTGGCTAACCTCATACTAAGTATTCTGGGGGCCCTGGATGTGTTTATGAACAAGCTGACAAGAGTATTGTCTTTGCGTAGGGCACAAGTCACAATCTAGGAGCCCAAAATTTTGGAATAAGAGGTTGTAACTTATGGGACATCATTTTCTTTAGCACACGTCTTTGAACTAGGAATCTGGAATGCTTAAATCCATGAGGAATAGGTTTCCCATTGCTTTCAATGAAAGCTGCCTTTTCTCGCAAGAAACCTCACAAAAATAGTCCAATTATTTTCCCTCATATATCTCGAATGAATCCGGTTTTGACACTCTGCTTCTGGAAGAGATTGATCGTAGCTTTCGATGAACAGAGAAGAAGATCAAGCCGAACAATCTTCTGGGAGGATCCCTTTCACCGAACTCATCCAAGTGAGCGCAGATTTCATTCTTGCCCTGGCTATGCAAGAGCAAGAGCAGGCCTACACCATGCTTGAAACCATAGAAAGCGATAGTGAAGAAGACGACGCTGAAATTGATGATGCTTCTTCGTCCTCTAGTGAAAACTACGACCCAGACGTTGCTGCTTTCCTTGAAAGCCGAGAATTTGATGCTGATGATTTCAGGTTTCTTGAGGACGAAGAAATTGGCACAAGCAGTAGCAGCAGTGATCAAGAAACGGATGATTTGGACGTGGATGAACTAACTTATGAGGAATTGTTAGCACTTGGAGAATTCATAGGGGAAGAAAAAAGAGGACTTCCCAGCAGTGAGATTTCTGCATGTTTGCATCCCTACACGTGCGAATTAGCGGTCGGTCAGAGCAAGACTAGCATCGATCGATGCGTGGTTTGTCAGCTCGAGTATGACGATGGTGAATCACTAGCTGCATTGTCCTGTGGACACCCTTATCATTGGGAGTGTATAAGCCAGTGGCTTCAGATTAAAAAGAGTTGCCCTATTTGCAGCACACAAGTTTGATCACCATCCTCATCGTCCAAGACCATGATTTTATAATTAATTAGGGTTTCTGCATTTCATTTATTTACTGGGTTTGATTGTGAAGTGTAATTGTACAAGATTTATGTTCTCAGTTCTATGTAATTAGTTGGAATTTGGTAATGAATGAAGAAATAAAAGATTATAGGATTTACTTTATATATATATATATATATATACACACACACATATTTTGTCAACTGAAATAATTTTGTAAAAACTTTGCATATCGCATGGGGAAGGTTACGATCTATTGAGGCTGCAAGTTGCAAATAGATGACCAATTTAAGACCGCTCGACATTAGGATTAGATGAGACTTGTAAGACACAATATATTAGATTTTGTTTTTAATAACTCAAGTTCTAGAATTTATAAGTTCATCAAACAACGATCGGGACATTAGTCCAATCTACAAGGGCATGTGATGGTGGCTCATATATGCGGCTCTCTCCTGGTGCGGTCGTTTCAATAGCGAAATTTGGTTGATAATTGCAGCGATACATTCGTTGTATCCAACACGGAGTTCGATTTTATTTTATTTTTTTTTTTTTTTTTTAAGGCAACTACTGTGGCTGCTGGCAAGGTGGTAACGGCGGCAACGGCTGCAGTTGCTTTCTGGGTTTGCACTCTGCAGGGTAGAGGTAAGGGTTTTTATTTTATTTTATATTTTTTCAATGGGTTTTGGGCTATGCTCAATCTTTATTGGGCTTGTTTGTTGCAACTTGTATTGGGCTTCTTCTCATTCAATCAAATCTTCTGTTTTTTGGACCCAAAAATAAATTATAAAATACTCAAATCGCACGGGACAATGTTAGGAAAACTAAATTTTTAATTAGACTATCTTTTGTAGTCCACCTAATGTGCCGGTGGATGGTTGAACTCTTTTTTTACGATTTAAGAGGGATTCTGATCAACAAAAGATTTTTTTTGTTCAAAATATGATTGACAAAGGATGGTTTAAAAATTTGTTGTATCTGGCATCACCTTTTAGCAAAAAGCTATTTGAGGAACCAGAGAAAGTGAGGGTGGGAATAACATGATCCGGCTGTTTCAGTGTTTTTTTTTTTTTTTTTTAGTAGTGTTTGCCCCCTACTTGGAACTAGCTTTGATGGTCCCTCCCTCGTAACTTGTTAACTTATTAACACGTGGTCGTATTGGACTTTACAATGCACAATATTTATTGAATAATCCTAAGCTTAATCAAAATGTTTATTTTCTGTGATGAATGAATACCAAAACTTCTTTTTTTTTTTTTTTTTTAAATGATGAAAGATTTTACGACAAAGTTAAACATTTGATATGTTTGATGTTGATGCTCAAGTTAGACATTGCAATGCAGAGCTGTCAATGCTTCAACATAGAAAAGCACTTTAAATGATTTTTTTATTTATTTTAAGTTTAGTGAAGTTAGAAAATTTGATCTAACTGGACAACGTAGGGCGTGGTTCAAAGTATGCTCAACAAGGCCTCAACAAGTCTGGTCGGGTGCGATCGTGAATTCGCACTTTATAAGCTTATGAAAGTTTTTTAAGTACATCAATGGTTTAGGGGTTTACTTCATGATCAACGAGTCGATGCATTGCCCATCTTTCTCTTAAGTGTTCATGAATGTCTCTTAGTCTCCGAGCTTAGTCCAACAAACATGTCGAGTCAAGGGACGATCATAAGATCAAACCTTCATAAAACGGGTCATGAGTCCACCCTACTTATAACACTAATATTGTTTTCAAGTTAACCATATATTTCATAATTTTATTACGAAAGATGTCAGTACAATTAGAAATCAAATCATTTACTACAAATTTGTAAATGACGGACATAGGATTTTTCTCATTATTCAACAAGATGTGTTTGTAAACTTTTCATTCGACTTTGGAAATTGCATAGCTTGAGTATGACCCAAAGGAGAAGATCTTATCAACATTTAGGGAGATCAAATTTTTTAAATCAAGTTTGCAAATCAAATGATGTGATTATAGAAGTTTTTTTTTTTTTGGGTAATCATGTCGTTATAGAAGATTGATTATATCTAAAGTGAGATTTGCAACCTATAAGGCTCTAAGCGAGCACCTAGGCACACTAGGGGGTTGCCTAAGGTGCGCCAGCAAAACAGAAATATTAATATCCCCAGGAGATAACAATGCCCAATTTATTTCCAGCCAAAAAGGAAATTCAATCATTTTTTCTACCATTTCCTCTAATTTCCTGTTTAATAATTTTCTCAAGCAAGAATTATCAAATCCTAATAATCAAAATAACCTGTAACCACGACAGCATTAACGTGTACACTTCAGCGCACTAGCTCATTGACCCGCCGAACGAACTTAGATCCCTGGCAAACCCGACCCAGACCTACTTGCATACCCCCCCCCCCCCCCAAAAAAAAAAAAGAAGTGGTGTAAGCAATGACTACATTGCAACTCCATAATCTTCTACCACCACGACACATCGCACTTCCATTACTGACACGTGTCCAGCTGCGATCAGCAAAATGCCCCAAAAACCTGTCCGCTACGACTGCCCACAAAGGTTATAGCCCACGTGGATTTTGGAACCGTCAACCCCCTACCTTCTGCGACGTGTCCTTCCCTTCCCCTATTTTCGCCCTATATATTCGCCTCTTTCACTCGCATTTCAACTTTCAAGTTTCAACTATAGCTTGCTTAGCACAGAGGGCGAGTAACGACTGAGAGAGAAGGAGTGAGAGCAAACGACAACGTTCAAATTGAACGACAAGGGTTGAAATGTCGTCCGTCGATTTCCAGCTACCACCAAGATTCAGGTTCCACTCAACAGACGAGGAGCTCGTGAAGCACTACCTCTGCCAGAAATGTGCGTCGCAGCCAATATCTGTCCTGATCATTGGCGAAATTGACCTCTACAAATACGACCCTCGGGAGCTCCCAGGTAATTATCCCCTGAATTTTAGGAATCTTTTCCAAATTTTCATAGATTTCTTTTTCTTCTTTTCTAAATAATATTTATTAATTTAAATTTTGTATTGCAGGTTTGGCGTTGTACGGGGAGAAAGAGTGGTATTTCTTTTCGCCAAGGGACCGGAAGTACCCGAACAGTTCAAGGCCGAATCGAGCGGCCGGAAGCGGTTACTGGAAGGCGACCGGTGTCGATAAGCCTATTGGGCATCCGAAATCATTGGGCATTAAGAAAGCTCTAGTGTTTTATGCTGGAAAAGCCCCTCGTGACGAAAAGACCAATTGGATTTTGCACGAGTACCGCCTCGCCGACGTGGACCGCTCGCCGCGAAAAAAGAACAGCCTCAGGGTATACACGCTACTTTCCCTCTTGTTAGATTAGGGTTGGGGTTAAAATTATGACTCTACAATTTCGTTGCATGACGACGACGATTCAATTAACACGACTTTGTTCAAATCATTTTTTTTCTTTTTTGAACAAATAATATTATTTATACTTAATGTAGTTCAAAATTTCAAATTCACATTTTATGAGAATTGAATTTTAAACCTAAGCGAAGAAAATCCTATCACAAATTGTAACACGTACTTTGACGTAAATAATATTATCCCAATGGGCTTGGGTCCCACTTGTTCATTCCATGAATTGGCACCGTATGTGAACGGTGGAGATTGAACCTGTTTTAGATCAACGGTGTGTTTAAAATTTCCAATTTTGGAAAAACAAATTGACTTTTTTGTGATGGTGACTGAAGCTATTAGCGATAACTAAAGGATAAGACTGACTTGATAAGGGGATTTTATTTGTGGTTAGGATTTATTTTTATTTTTTTTTTTTTCTTAATTAGCGAATGATTAATTAATTGAATTGGATACCGATGGACGGTCTGCATTTTCACAGCTGGATGATTGGGATAATGTGCATACATGGGCCTCGATAAAAACCTTGCCAGGTATTTCAACCCGGTCTAAGGAAAAAAGAGTGTCCCACATGTTTCAAGAGATAAGAATATTTGGAAACAATCTCTTTTAAAAAGGCACTAGTTGCTCAATCCTCCATAAGCGAGTGTGTCTAATTTTTTCAGGTCGTAGGTGCCAACAATTAACCAATGGATAACAGAGTCATCTGCTTACTTGCTCATGGACCATTTTCCTTAACAAGAGATTCTAAAATTCTTTCTATCATTTTACGTGTGAATAAAGTAGCATACAATAGTAGCTCAACACTACAAGATATTGCTTTTTTCTTTCACTGTTCCTAGCAATGATAGTTCGACAATCAAACCTTTATTGATTTCTTTTTAATTAAATTATATCTAATGGCAACTAATATGTATCTTGTTGAAAATTGAACATGTTATCAAATTGCTCAATATTTTTTTTTTTTAGTACATCGATATTTTTACACTAGGAAGATAGGGAGTTCGGCTAAAGCACACAATGGGCAACCTAATTTGGTATCGAATTTGCCATTCACGAGATTCGAACCTAAGACCTCTCAGTTCCAAGTGAAGATAAATATCATCAGACCGTAGTATTAAGTAGCTTAAATAGTTGAATATTAAAGAGGCACATTTTTATTTGAAGATGTATTTTAAATTAGGGTAATGTTAGGGAGACCACCAATAGAAAGGTTAAGTAATAATTTAATCATTAACAGCTACATTATTTGATTTGTAAATTTGGTTTAAAAATTTTGATATTCCTAACATTATCGGTTAAATTATTCATTGTTATTGTTGAAGATTGATGGCTTAGCTCATGGATCGGTTGGTGGTTCATGATTGTATTATCCTTGGGCCCACCTAATTATTTGGACCTAAAATTATTGGGTTGGGCCGAGTATGGAATTGTTCTCGGCCCAGAAGTTCTGCTCGAGGATTTCTACAAACCAGTAGGTTCATGGGCCGCCTAACTAAGGTCGGCCAAGCCCTGTTTGGAAAAGAATATTCCAGATGAATAAGACGTAGGTGGGCCCTATTGTGAAGTGGAGGAATGAAGTGGTTAAGTCCAGATGCAGTAAGGATTCTCGGTCATATAAGGATACTGGAAAGTGGAAGTGAATGTGGCCTAATAAGAGGTTGAATTCAAAATCCTAATAGAAATGAGATTGGCCGAGATAAGATGGATTGGGGTAAGGAGCCGTAGTTTGAGTATGGTTAGGATTTGTTCTTGTTGCTATAAATAGAGAATGAAGTGTGCAATTCAGGCTCCCCAATTCAACACATAATTGCCTTGCGCAAAGCTCTCAAACAACTTGAGATTTTCATTTTCTTTTTCTACCATAACATCTTCAGTTTGGATAAACAGCACTGTGGAGGCAACCGGCGAACATCTTCAGTTTGGATAAACAGCATTGTCGCCGTAGAACCGATCGACCAAGGAGCACCTTCAGTTTGGATAAACAGCACTGCGTCGAGGCTGACTGGTTACCTATCCAAGTCTCGGTCGAGAAGGGTTTCTAAATCCTTATTGGCAGACGTCATCTTATTAGCCTTCTCGACGAAGCAAGGTGTTACGAGTTACGACATTCGACACCTTGAATGCCGAGTGGTTTTATGATTGAATACTCGCAAGTAAGTTTCAGAGTTCGACATTCTAATGACCGAATCACATTCACCATCAAGACATGCATCACCTTTGAGTATTTGTGTCCATATAGTCTGGTGTCGATTCGACGTGCTTATACTCTCACGAATATAATCATTGTGACCGAATCCAACATCGACGATTCGTGAACTTCGCAGAATTAGCAGTCTTGTCTTCATGCTCGAGTATTCAAAGGCCGAGACTTGTTCCTTCCTCGGCCTCAATCACAAGATCAAGAAGTCAGCAATACGCTCAACGCAACATCAACAAATTGTACTCCTCGACCAGGTTCGGCCAACGAGTTGGCACGTCCCGCATCAACCGAATGACGTAGTTAGCTCATTAGTTACTCGGCCTGCGCGCCACGTAGGCTTTGTAATTTTTAGGGTCAACACTAATGCTTGACCAAATGGGTGATTAATATCCCCATTATTAATCTATATAAATCAACAAGATTGCATCTAACACAGACATTGTTTTCAATAGACATCACCAAGATTCATTTCATAAATCAGGATTTTGTTCGTTACACACCTTAAATATATAGAAAATACTTACATATTTATAAGTTAAATATTACTTTATTAATTACATATTAAAACTTGAATCTAACAAGAAATATTAAACAAACAAATATGGTAGACATCTAGATTCCAGACAATTTTTTATTATATTTTACATTGATCTCCAGGATTGCATCGCATCTTGGTGTGCTTAATGAAGGTTTAAGGCACTTGGCTAACACTATTAAACATCAATTAATTAGTTGTAAAGTGGAAAAGGAAACCTTTATTAATCAACACTAACCTTTGCTTAGATTAGCAACAACTTGATCCCACATTTTAATGTTGTTTAAATTTATGCATGAAAAAGTCATGAGTTAATTTCTTAATCATTTGATGCCAGAGGTGGTTAAATAAAGAAATTTCAAGCTTAATTAACGGGTTAATGGAGTTTTTTTTTTTTTACTAATTAGCAAATTAAAACAAAGTCATGAGTTAATTTCTTAATCATTTGAGTTGTTTGCGTTGGAGTTATTTGAAATGGGGTATTTATATTGGATAAGGATCCAAAGCATATAGGTGGGATATAAATTACACAACCACTTCTTTTGTTTACCAATCATCTATTCCTTTGCATATTTTACTTCTTAGTTTAATTACTTGGTTAATATTCTCTTATCAACCAGTTTGACATACGATCATATGATGAAGTGATACATGATTGCTTCACTAAAGATTAGTAAAAATACAGCCATCACCGGTTGTTCAGAATGAAGAAAATTGATGTTCTACTGTAAAGCCAATTGGCAATAGAGATGGTGAAATGTCCTATTGTAAAGCCAATTAGCAATAGAGAGGGTGATTAAACTTCTTATAAGCTCTTACAGGGTTCTTAACTTTCGAGAATGAAGTTGATATTTTCATTCTAAACCCAACTGGCAATAAGGGGAATGACCTAACTACTTATAAGCCCCTGCATGTTTTATTAAATTTACAATGTTAGACATTCTTCACGTACTTACCTACAATTAGTCGTACCTAGATTTTTCTACTTGATTCATTATTATTTTTTAACAAAAATACTTTCACATCTTATTTGGATCCTAAAACCATATATATCATAATTTATCTTAAAAATAATAGTAGAGTTCACTTTGATGAGTCAATTTTATACTATATATTTTGCCCTAATCTTAGTTTATTTTGGTTGTTATTTTAAAAAAATTTTGATACTTTAAATTGTATTTTCAATATAGGATTTATGACTTCCTCTGGGGTACAACGTGATCAAATGGATGAATTTTGGAGTAATTCCAATTGGAAGATGTTTATGAGTCGCTATCAAAATATCAAAATTTTCCACCAAGCAGTTATTTTCTGGCAATGAAATAAAGAAGCAGTGCACGTTGCTAGAAAGTGACATTTCTAGGCTTAATTGTGATTTTTGGAGCCTAAGATGACCTCCGATGGGTTCGTGGTCTTCTGGATAAGTGTTCAAAATATTCCAAGCTTTAAATCTAGCTTTTATGGGTCGGTTTTAGAGCATATATGGGTCCAAAACGTGACTGTGTAGATTTTGGGCAAATTTTACTAGTTAATTTAGGATTATGTTTCCTAATTTATTTTAATTTGTTTGGCTTCCTAGTCTGATTCTAAGACTTTTAGGGTTTTAATTTGTAGTAGTATAAATAAGGCTTTTTAGCCATTAGGGTTTAGGGAGAGAAGGCACGCACTAATTTAGAGAGCCTTTGACAATTCAAGTTTATTTTCAAGATGTTTTCTTTCCATGTTCTTAATTATTTTTGTTTATGATTGTCGTAACTAATTTGTGTTTGTTAGGGTGAGGCCACGAGCCTTAGCATGTATATGTAGTCTTTATTCAATTGCTTATGATATTATATATGCATACTTTGAATTATTAATCACTGTGTTTAAACTGTCTCTATATCTTAATACTTAGCTACCATTAGGATGCTTAGATAAGTAATCGGATACGATTCGGTCAAAATATCACTGGAGGATTAAGTATTGCTTCTTGTGGTTAATAAATGTAATTTCACCTAAGGCGAATATCACGCTTTTAGGGGTTGCATGGTTTTTCAAAGGGTTTTCACAAAACTTAATGAGTCTTACATGTTCATATTTGATGTGAATATCACAGACGGATTGCATGTTAGATATACGTTCTTGCTTGAATATCACAAGGAGAATATGTATTAGGAAAACCTAACCTTCAAAGTTGCATGTGTAATTCATAAGTAATTGGTAAAGTTACATAAGATTGTTAAGGTGACGGTGGAACCCTAGGCTTTTACAATTTGGATTTCAAAACGTTTTCTTTTCCTTTTCTTTGATATTGCATATTTTCTAATCTTTTTAATTAAATTCGTTTTTAATATTTTAGGTTATAAAATTATCCTTTTCTAAAACCTTGTTTCAAATAATTAATTAAGATTTGGTCTTAACATAAATTATTCATTCAATTCTTGTGGAAAACGACCTTATTTGAGCCATTTATACTACAACTACCTTGTCCACTTGCAAATATTTTTAAGTGTTTTTATCCCTACCTTTACAAGTGGTAAAAATCCTATCAAGTACTACAATGTGTAGTATTCTTCTTTACTTATATGTGAAGATCGTAAGTTCGAATCATGAAAATGACGAGTTCAATTACCAATTTATTTCTTCCACTTTTTACTATAAATATATAGTAAACAATCCCAATCCCAATCCCAATCCCAACTCATTACTATGGGTTTAAAATTAGTATACTTACTAGATCAATTAATCATTGAAGGGAGGGTCCAAATTTTAATGATTTTAAAATAGTATGCATAATGAAATTTTATTACAAACAATAGTATTAGTGGATTAAATTGTTAATTGTTAGGAGGGAGGGGGGTTTGTTCCTGCACCGAAGTGTATAGACAAAGTCGGTTATTTTGGTGCCTAGGACAAACACTCAAAATGTGTCTTTTTTCAATACGCGAACATATATTAAAAAGAAATATTTAAAGAAGACTAGAACCTAGTCGAAGTTGAAGGGTTAGGCCCTTATGCCCATATTATATTACTTGAAGAGGAAAAAAAAACAACTGGGAGGGGGAACATAGTACCTAAACCCCAACGATCAAAAGCAAAATCTTATACAACCACTCCAAGGAAAAGCTCCTTCTTGAAATTTCAACCTTCAAGAAATCTTCATCTTGCATTTTTTGAGGCAAAATATCAGTTAGATAATCATAATCCAAGTCTTCAACCTCATCCTTTTTCAACATAAGATTGCTAATCCATTTAACCTATCTTGAGTCATAGTGGTCTGCAAGGAAGATTTTAATAATTTCAATTTTGTAAAACTTCTTTTTGCAGATGCACCATAGTCACAAGTATAGTCAATGATATACGATAAGCAATCAACACATCTGGACACATATCAATTTCTTTTACAAACTTTGCTATTTACATGGATGTCCAAGGCCTATCATATTCAACTAGTTCTTCAGGTAACATCATTTGTAAAACATGTACTTCAGAACATAAGACGACTCCATCTACATCAATAGCATTGTGATGTTTCAAATGTGCTTCAAGATTCATACAACAGTCTTTTAGCTCCTGATCATGCAATGAAATTAACTTTGATGCATCAAACAAGAAACCAATTGGTTTCTCTAATTGGCCCCCCTTTC